GTCAGGAGTGACATCACACTTTTGTTTTAGAAACGTGCTGCTGTGCATAATTTCTATAAAGTTCACTCTGTGTGTTTGTGTGTGTCTGAGCAGAGAACCAGATGTGGGGCTGTGTTTGTGTGGGCAATTGTAGAAGCGTTGAGTGTCTCACAACAAACTGTGCAGGTGAGCGTGACGCCACATGAAGGCTGTCTTCACATTTTATCCTCACACAGGAAATGAGCAGAGTGTTAAAGCTGAAAGTTGAAGCCTGCTCAGCTCGTACTGGAGCGATTAAAGCTTTGGAATAAAAATGTGAAGAAGGTTTCAGTGAGGGAGGAAGTGATGATGTCATCTGTTTGTGAAAACCAAAGCTGTGCACATTGAAACAAAGGAGAGCAGCTGACTCTCTGCATGTAGGTGATACTGCAGACTTCACTCATCTCTAGTGCCGGCAACCTGAGCGCTGACTACTTTGAAAACAGGAAGCTGCACTTGTGTTTGGAGGTCAGTGATGTGAACCCTACTCAACTTCTTGTTTGGGGCCGGTAGATTCGTGCTGTGAAGCTTCCCCAGCTCCACTGACCTGTTTCACACCAGATTAAAGCTTTTAGCGCTCCGCACAGGACACCACACTGTGAGTTTCATCCGGTCTGATTGAGTCATTATTGACTGCAGTGATGATTTTATTGCACGGCAGCACGACGGCTGCAGAATTTTGCATATTTTCAGTCTAAGACAAACATTTCGCTGCAGGCTGATAAAAGGAAGTGCGCTGCCCGAAAGCTGCAGGCTGTCACTTTTTCAGACAGCTGAAACACAGCTGTTTAAAGCCCCCGCTGTGGTTGCTGCGCTGGTGTGTGCATGCGCAGGAGCAGGTGTGAAAAGCACAGCTGCCAGCTGAGCGCGAGGCTTTCAGATGCACAGCAGGAAACGAGTGTGCTTCTGTAAGTCGAGCTCTGCAGCGAGGGTCACTGACGCTGGTGTGAGACTGTGTAGGTGAGCTCATGGGGGAGCCACGTTCCCTCTGTCATGTGAAAGGTAACGCACTAAACTGTGAGCGTACTGCGAGGACGTGGGAGCACTGCGTCGGTAAGCAAGACCGTCTCTGACCTTCCCGTGCCAGCAGGAGTACGTGAGAAATACGATGCGTAGCCTGACTGTCAATGTATGCAACTGTTGTGTTTAGTAGCAGCTCTGCAGCCCGTCCGCATCCACTGTGGTCTGCATGTCAGCATGTTAATAAAATCTTAAGTTCTTACCCAGTGCTGCCGCATTTTGTGGTGTGTTTACAAATCCACTCGCACTCCGTGTTTGTGGCTGTGTGTGTGTCAGCAGATTGGGAGGCAGGAGATTGGTGTATTTTTGAACACGCAGATATTTTCAGACATTCAAAATAAAAATTCAGTCAGGGAAATGAAAAAGGTGTAAACACTGTCTGATATGTGATGTTATTAAAACACTGCTGTCCTGTTTTCACGATGCTCTCAAAAAAAAAGAAAAAGAAAAAAAGATTCACTTCCTTTGAGATCAAAGTGTAAAGTCTGATGACCTGTCCAGTTTATGAGTTGAATATTTCATGAGATCATATTGAGTCCTGTTGTATTATTAACCCGAGTGCATCAGAGTGATGCAGCTTATTCTGAGTTGCGGTAATCATTAAAGGTGGATTATGGTCTGCTTACTTCCCATCTCAGCTCTCTGGACCCACAGGCAGGACGTTCATGTTGGAACACCCACATATCACACAGGCCGCCTGCACTTATGTTGTAATCGTGGCAGTAAAATAACAAAATAATTTGCATCTTTCAGGATTGATTTGGATCTTCCCAGTAATGTGAAGGTCACGTGCTAACAGAGCTAATCCCTTCTCACCGGCTTCAGTACCTTGTGCTACTGTGATACACTGAATATTCCCATCCTTATATGCTCATTTCATGCTTCTGTTTGTGATGGGAACTCAATCAGGAAGCCCTCAAACTGGGAGGAGCTAAATGAGCTTGCTTCAGAGAGTGACCTGAGGCCTGGTATCAGATAAAGAAGGATTATTTTGTGAGTTATGCTAAGCTGCTCTGTAAGAGTCCGAGAACAGAAACTGGAGATGAGTTTGTGTCTGATAAATGAACCTACAGATGTGGCTTAGCATTAACAATCATACACAAGCTCTTTAGGGAGTGTGTCAGCTTTTTATTCTTTGAGTCGGTTTGAAGTTATTTTTCTTTCAGCGCCAACAAAAAGTACAGAAACAACCTCTGAGCCTCACATATGGAAGGTGGGGGCAACCTCCCACGACTTTGAGATACCCCTACCACCGAGTCATGTCTTCAAAGACATACGCAGGACATTAGCTGAGGAAAGTAAAGCGGACTTTGCTCACAGACTGTGCTGCTGTGTGAGCTTCCATTATCAAATCTTTAAGTGCTCCACCTCCCACCTGCCCTTCTGCTCCACAGTATTTAACCTTGTGAGCTACAACAGTTCATTGGTCGCTGAACCGACCACGGCCAAATCCAGGTGTGCACACGTAACAAACTGTTTGTACGAATCCTGTAACAGTGAATCAACTTTTTAAATACACAAAAAAATTCAGCTTTCTGTCTGTCTGGCACCGTGAGCTGGCTGCAGACATGCGTCCGTGTCTGTCTGTGCACAGAAGCTGCTGGAGGTTTGGAGCCCTCTGAGGGGGTGAGAGGGGTATCTCAAACACTAAAGCCCTTCTGGAGGCTTGGGTTACAACATTTACAGCATTTTCGAGGAAAACAACAGGGCCCTGCACCCTACGCTGTGTGAGGACGGAGGAATCTCGCACCCATGTGAGTGTTTTGTCAGAGAAGTGCACATTCCTGAGAGGCCGGGGGGAGGGTTAGAGAGGAGAGTAGCCTCTCCAAAATACTGCAGTTCTTCTTCACTGCTCTACATTAGTGCTATTAGTGAGTACCACAAACACTGGCGATCTCTGCCACGCTGAGTCGCAAGCCAGACAGATGAGTCACACAGGTGACAGCGAAGCCGCCGCTCTGATCTTGGCAGTCACCTCCTGAGGAGGAACATCCGGGGCGTGCAGGGCTGGTGTCCAACAGAAACCAGGAAAAATGAGCTGCCGCCTCCTTATTCCAAATCGTCCGCCTGTGATTGGCTGCTCTTTTGCTCAGATTTTCTCCAGTTCATCAGCCCGGCTCGGCCGAAGGAAAACAGTCCTCAAGTCACGCCTGAAAACTCCTCGAGGAACACATTCCAGCTGCTCGTTTAGTTAGACCACCTTCTGACCTCAGACTGAACACCACGACCCTGGAAGAAGAAAAAAAAAAAATCAGCTGAGGATTAAAAATAAATCTGAAGCTGTGAGCGAGCTGCAGTCTGCAAGACTTTGAGCCCTGAAGGCGCTTTGTTCCCACAGAACGATAATGAGTGGCTGTTTGTCACTCAGGGAACACTGCGTCCTTTCCTGTAGCCGTTTCCTCGTCATGGGGTTTCAAAAACTTTTTGTGAACGAGATGCTCTCATGATGCCACTGACCCGCCAATCGGTGGCATGCAGCCTGTTGTCACGTTTTAGTACCTGGTATCAGGTACTAAAACCCTGAAAACCGTGGCCAGTCAATTTGGTACTAATGGCTTCATAATCATACTGCTCTACTTGAGCACTCACAGCACTTTATACAACATGCCTCATTCACCCTTTCACACACATTCACACAAGCACTTTTTCCATGCTTAAGGCTTTCTAACGTTCACACTCTGAAGGTTCAGTGTCCTGCACAAGAATATTTGTCACGCAGACTGAAGCAGCTGAGAGAACGAGAAAGTTCTAAATACTCTGATAACAAAAAGGAAGTAACCAAGACAAACTTAACCAGAGACACGAGGACAAGACTGAGGGACGAATTTGAACAAAAGATAAAAGGAACCAAAACTCGTTCATCCATATGATCTTATTCAGGGTCAAACATCCACCAAAACAGAGAAAAGAGAACCAGGGATGATGATCTATCTGTGAGGACAAGAACGTTTAAGTCTTAAATAATTAGCCTGAATCACTCTGAGGATTTTTGTTAGAATAAAAACAATGTTATATGAAGCGTTTCCAGTGAAAACAGTGAGCGAATAACCTGCTTTTTTTTTTTAACAAATCACAACAGTCCAGGTGCTTTATATTTTAAGGTAAAGACCCTAATATAATACAGAGAAACTCCAACAATCACATGACCCCCTATGAGCAAGCACACTAGTGACAGTGGGAAGGAAAAACTCCCTTTTAACAGGAAGAAACCTCCGG